TAGGTTGGGGCCACTGCTGGTATTTTCATATTATAGGAGGGCCTCTTCAACATTCAAGGACCACAAGAACAATATTCTGAAAAAGATTCCATTACTAACAACATTTTATATCATTATTTTGTGTCATCTTTGTTTATCCAAACAACAAATAAAGCACAGAAACCTGCTCTCTCCTTAGATGCATTTGCGGCCGCCTTTGACCTTTTTTTAAAAATAGAAATGTGTTTTCATTTTCATTTTATATAAAGGGGCAGTTTAAACTGATATGAAGCAACTAGAAAAAAAGAAAAATAAATTAACAATAATAAAAATCTTGCAGTCTGGATTATATCATATATTTGATATCATATCATGACCTGTGGATAGAGGGCAGGTAATGGTGGCGATGGTGGTTTGAGACCCCTGCTTTAGACAGCTAATATCAGAAATTAGAATCAAGGTGACAATATCAAGTCCTGAAATTTGTAAAGCAACATTTCACTCTCTTAACACTTTTACTTGTGTATTGATGCGAGGTCCCTGCACAACACACGGGACATATATTATATGAGTCTGGATAGACGTGGATGTAAACTGCAACTTGACTGGGTGGCAGATGCATATACCCACATATATGGTAATTACAGTTATGGTCAAAGATCTATTTTAAGCTTGTCAGCACCTCATTGTCGTCATTAAGAAAAGGTTGTTGTTTTCGGTTTTCATCATGGTTTTTGTTGACGAAATTAACACTGCATGCATAACCCTGTAAGGATCACAACCTGCACTAAATATAAATAATTTCTTTATAAACAGGAAATTACAACATGTGATGTCACTTCTATGATTTATATCACGTTCTTAGACTTAAAGCTTCTCGAAAGCCACAAGATAACAATAACCCCACAAGATATTATAACTGTTTTCACAGATAACTTTCCATGACCTGTAAAACTGTTGGAGTTCTCCTTTAATGTGTATTTACTGACAGGAAACAAGTAATCCAGAATTATTTTGTTATGTTCTATCAACAAAAGTGAAATATTTACTTCAAGAGAGACTGAAATATGCAGTTTAAACAGTAAACACTTTAAATCTACCACTGTTGGATTATGCACGTAGAAATGTCTGTACTCTTCTGTTGCATAACTTGTAGCATAAGATTTTTTTTTAAAATTTAGTTAGTTACTCTTCTGTACGCACCACAACCTGCAGTGGTTGTATGTCATTATTTAGAAAGAGGGCTGTGGTTTTGTTTACAGGAAATACTACATTCTCAATGCTGGGATGAAACCTGAGCAGGATGAACTTTACAACAAGAATTCAGTATAGATCAGCAATGATGTGACCTTGCAAGCTGATGTCAATGTCTCTTAGTTGGTTTTACACAAATATGACATATGTCTCATAAACATTTATGAGTTTGAACTGAGAACAAGCACTGTAACCTAAATACATGCAACCTTGCTGCATAGTCTTTGTGTATAGAGCAGAGACAGGTCACTGCCACAGACTGCTGATTTGTACAGGAATCATGCCAGCATACTGAACCTGAAACACATGAGATGGCAGCAGAACAGGTAGAGCTGGCAGGACAGTGAAAAGAGTGACTTTTAACCTCAAGTGTGAAATCAAATTGGACGAATGAACTTTGTTCAGCACGTTTTCACAAGTTTACACAAACTAGTATAAATGCTGTACACTGTGTGGGTCTTTTTTATAGAATCTCCCACACAAAGAGACATATGGTGGGATGGGATGATTCAAAGTTTCTCAAGATATGAATCAACGTTAAAAAATGTCACAATCCCGATCGGATCATAGACAACAAAAGCTTATGACTTGCACACATTTACCTTTGCATTATTTATGAGACACAAAGAAGCAAACCACCTCTCATTGATCTAATTTGCTTATTTTGGAGGAGGATTTTGCAACTGATGGACATATTTAATTCCTCTCTTACTCTTTTTTCAAACAAATTCATAAGAAAACACACTGCCACTAAAATAAAACATGCTTCACTTTCTTTTCTGGTTATTAATGGCACTTATTGTTGTATCTCATCTTCTTTGCCTTATGTGAAAAAATGTATACATGTACCACAACTTCATATAACAATGTCCATTGATGCAACAATGTTCATAGAAATACCTGATTAGTTTATGGCAGTCCATAGAAGACTGCACAGCTACAGAGAAATGGATAGGGAGCACAGTAATGCTGGCCTTGGCTGTTGCTGTGTAAAGCCAGGTCTGGTCTAAAGTGCAAAAGTGATGGTTGCTCAGTTTGTTGAGAGTCAGGTTGGTTTTTGCAGGCCACCACAGTCTGTTAATCTTGAAAGGAAGGAAGTCTACAATCGTAACTTCCCTATGCACTTGATGAGAGAGACTGTCACTGCTATCTGGTCTAAGTGAACTATATGAACAAACCTCCTGAAAATAAGCCACACACTTCCACCAAACAATTGTGTTTACAAGACCAAGAGTCTACAGTCATGTTAGCAGCTCTGTGAGGCTGCACTAACAGCAGGTATAGCAATGCTACAGTTAGCATTAACATTAGCTTTTGAGCTAAATGCAAATATCAGTATTCTAACACCCTCACAGTGACGATTCTATCATGCTTTTAGCAACATTTAGCAGGCACTATTTACCATATTCACAATTTTAGTAAGCAAGCTGAGGCTGATGGGAAATGTCTAGGTATTTTTGATAAGCCGATATATCCAGAAGTATTAGACAGATAACACCTTTGAGCTAGAACATGAAACTAGATGAAAGGTTAAGGGATCACCAGAGTTATTAGGATTCATCATCTAGGGACCATGAATGTTTGTTCAAAATGACATAGCAATCCGTCAAATAGCTGATGAGATAATTCAGTGGTAGACCGACAAATTGACACCCATTTTTGTAACTTCCTGGGTTTCTTGGTCATTTTAGTCCACTGTTAAGTTGAAATGTTCATCATCATGATAAACACAAGTAAAATGGTTGACAATAAGAACCTCAAACAACATTCAACGGTTCATTGAGAAATTATTGGTAGTGACTCAGTAAGTGAGGTCAGTTGTAGTTCATCTTCTTTTTCTACTTTTTATCTTTTTAATTTGGAAACAAAGTAACAGGTTTCAGTTTAACTCGACAAAGGAAGGTCATTTTTTATGTTTTTTTAAACAGAGGATTCAGTTTGAAACTGCGTACATTTTCTTGGTTAAACCATCCTTTCATCTTGCACCCACTGAACTTTCCCATGAATCAGTTGCAGAGAAAGTCCCAGTTTGGCTTCCTCTTGAACATGTTGAGCAGCTGCTCACTTGTTGTCTTTCTTAACCGCTGTGCTCCACAATGCATTTTGTTCTGTATGTAGGTTAATGGAAACCTTACTCTCTCAGAAACATCACTGATTAACCCTCAGTCAGAGCTATTACACCGTCATCAGGCCTAAACCTGTTCTTTATTACCTGCTGCTACATGTTGCATCAGAGTGTCACTAAATGGCATTTAAAGTTAAGTGTCTCTGGGAACAAAATGCTAGGTAAGCAGTTTACCTCTGCAGGGTCGCAACTTGGGTAAGAGAGAAGGACAAAAGAATGAGGCATAAGGAAGGAGAAAGAATTGATACCATATACAGTCCTAGTGGTAGTCCTGAGGATGCATGTATTCTATGCGCTTTGCTCTGTCCTGTTACTGCATTTTCTTCTCTTATAACTTAGCCTGTACAGAAACACACTTAAATGCGCAAACACAGAATGCAAAAGTATCACCTTATCCGGCCCAAACCAGTTTTTGTGAGCTCTGAGATTTGGCTTCTCAGCATGCAGGCGAAAAAAAGAACAAAAGCATAATTGGATTAACCTGGTTTTGAGTGCTAATTCTTGCCATAGGGCAGCCATGGGGAAAACGACTGTTACTGAACTAAAGGGAGTGGATAAATGAATGGAAACAGTTAACAACACACAGTTTGGATATCAAGAATTAAACAAGTTAGAGCCATCCTTAGACTCCAGGATAGCTTCAGTTCTCCAAGGAATTAGTTAATAGGAGTAATAATAGAATACTACAAGTTTGTGTTTAAACACAGTTTCCTGGGTACACTGTGACTGCAAAACACAACTTCAGCTAAATGTACAATGTTGCATTTGAAAGCAAGGCCACAGAAAACTATGTGAAACATGTATGTTTTTTAGTACTATACATAATGACATAAAAAAAGAAATTGGATTATTCTCAAAATGCCAATAAAATATGTTCATAAAAAAACTAATAGTATTACTTTATAAAAATTACGAACAAGTTCTGGTAATGATCACATCAGAATACAATTCACATGTAAAGCTGATCGAGCAGGACATTCAAGCTGATACACTTTCACCTGTAACCTTTATTCGAACTCACTGTGGCCATGCTCTCTGGATTGATTGACAAATGTTCAAACCTATTTTATCATTCAGACATGTACACTGTTGACTTGCATGCACATACACCCACACATAAACAGATGGGATAACTGACGTATAAATACACACTCATAAACAGATTCAATCTAAGCAGGAATGCCCCTGGAACGCGCACGCACACATGCAGACACACACAACCCGTACCTATGCACATGCACACACTTCACAACGTGAGTTCAGCAATAACCCCTAATGGACTTTTGGATAGGCAGAAATCAATGACCCCGCAGGGTTCAACTTGTGGCCATGTAACTTTAAATTACTTCATTTTAGCTGTATGCTGACTCCATTTGACTAATGGTAAAGATAGGTACTTTTAACTAACATATGATCATTTTATTTAACAATTTCAGAGTGCAGAGATCAATGCACTGCAAATTAAGAAAACACATGCAAATAGACAAAATACAAGCAAATTATCTTCACCAATTTGAAAACACATGCATAGCATCAAGAAAAAATGCTGCAAAATGCGAAGAACACAACCAAACACTACAAACAGTAGACGACAAAACAAAAAAACATTTTACATCGTAAAAATATTGCTCCATGGTGCTACTAGTGTTCAAAAACAGGGTATCTTTAATGCTTTCTCTCTGAATAGATACAACTCTTCAACCAAACCACAAAAGTGATAAACATGTTATTACTCTTAAAATGAAAAATAGCCCCTACAGCACAAGATATGTTCCCTCAATTTTAATTAATTTAGACAAACTGTGTGCCCTCAGTGTTTTCACTGATTCTAGGTGGCTCAAGTTCTACAGCTGCTCAGTCTGATCTATAGGTTTGAAGAAAAACAGCTTGATTAAAGATTTTTAAAATACAATCTAGAATAAAACACAGAGGGTCAGGCCTAGTGTATTATATAACTTGGCCACTGTGTCATTTTCTACAATTGCCAGAATTAAACAAGTAGCATTCTAATAGAATACATTGAACGACAGGGCCAGTTTCATTGGAATAGGTTGCCAATGTTACATGAATAATCTTCACTTTCATAAGATCTTAATGTATATCTTAGGTGACTTATATGTTCGTGGTAAGAATGTGGTCTTGCACATAAGGACGCATAAGGCCTGTTCAATCAACAATCAATATTTGGATTTATCTACCAGTGATAGACACTCAGGCTATAGATTTCTGAAAATCCAGAGACTTTTTCAGTTTACTCATGCACTATGAATGTTGCAGTGGCACGTTTACTTGCACCACTAGGCTAAGGAGGGCCTAACTTCCTTCTATAACTTGCACATGACATTTCAGGCTCCAAAAACCAAACGTTTGCAGGGGTAAACAAGACCTAATATGTCAGCCCGTAGAGTGTTTTTTTGTTTGTGTGTGTGTGTGTGTGTGTGTGTGTGTGTGTGTGTGTGTGTGTGTGTGTGTGTGTGTCTACATACATTGAACCCATGGGTAATGAGCATACTGACTCACAGAGGTTTTTCCCATGTCTGCTTGGAAGTGTTCATGGAGAAAGGATTTACAGGAATTCGAGAAGGGTTGAAGCAACAACGGCTCTACAAAAACTGCTGCCAGAACCTATTGCCAAGAAAATGACGCAGGCTTGTTGCGTGCATGTGAGGGTGTGTGCATATATTGTATTCATGCATCATTTCCCAGAGAGCCACAGCCTATAAAATTATACCCTCACAATATCTGATGGTCAGTGTACATTCATACAGAAAAGAAAACGTTTTAAAACATAGTTGTTTGCAGTTACATGACCATTGCCTTCTAGTCACTTTGTCTCACTATCCTGCCTTAACAAGAGAACTACTCAAAATATTAGAAATCACAGGTTAGTAAAAACTAATTGGGTAATCACAATGAGGTAAATCAAATGAGAAACAGATGGTAAAACACTTACACATATTAGTACATTCAGTATGGTTTACAGATACAGACATTGTACCTTAATCGCAAACTGTAAAAGAGTATTTAACTTACATTTTAATGTTTTAATTTTTTTGTACTGATTATTTTTCTATGATCTGCCTTTTGTTCAAATAAATCTTCAATATATCCTATAATATATGAACTAATTTGTCCATTAATTTGTCCAATATGTTCAATCTCCTTCAAGTTCAGGAAATACTGCAAAACAGGTATGTGTAATGTAATTTTGTTTAAGTGGGAACCAAAACAGAGTTACTGAAACCTTCTAGTGGGAGCAGTTCATTCACCAATGCTACATGTGTTGTTCACTGCTATTGTCACAGCGTAGTCTTCTGACTAATACAGGGACTCAAGCTGAGGTTTTTCTGTGCAGACTTTAAAAGGGTCGTTCAGTAACAGTGTAAAGTTCTTCTGCATATGTGTACACATGTGTAGGATTGACACATATGCATGCATCAGGTGTGCATATATGAGTATGGGCGCATGCATGTCTGCTGGTCTTTGTACATATGCATGTATATATCTGTCATTTTAAATGTGTATATCTGTATTCCTGTGTGTTTGCTTATAGATTTAGTCTGTTTGTCAGACCGTACACTGTCTCAAATTGATCCACTTCATCCTATTTCTCTTGTGTAAGAACATCATGACTGATTGTTGACCCCAGAGTGTATCTATTGTAATCTCCTGACCTGATATCCGAACATGAAGAAACCTGTGTTTAAATTTCTGGAACCCCTATAATTTTGTAATTTAGCAAAACTCCTGTCATTGTGATGAATGTAACTTTAAATATGTGTACCTGTCTTTTTACAGTACATATTTAGAATTAAGTGTTAAATTGTGTACAAATTATTGTGTGCTGAAGTGAATAAAAGACTGTAGAAAGATCTAGTAATAAAAGTGAAGAAATTTGGAAATAACACGCTCAAAGCAGCTCACTTAAATAGGATTACTGCTTCAACAGCTCAGCATGTTTACATCATCTGGCCAATTGAGAAGTCTGTTTATTTATGTTAACTACATAATCCTAATGACCACAGATAGAAGAAACAGACAACTCTGTGATTCTGTTTGAGCATTAGCATAGAGAGATAATAGCCAACACTGGAAATTGATCAAGTTTAAATGAATTGTATTGAAGATTGATAATTTGTGAATAGTCAACACTGCAATCAAGGTGTGTTGCTGTGATTAAATCTTGATATAAAGACTTGAGCCTGATAGAGTGGATACCTTTAAGATAAAGGCCTCAAATAACAGATGCAGGCAGACAGAGTTGAGATGAGTTTATGTAACCATCCATACCATTGTGTGCACTGAAAAACTAACAAAAACACTCATACATATATATATACACTGAACATGAACATTCTTTGCCACTGAATCAACACAATGAATGCCTGCTACACCATCACACATCATAAACAAATCCTCATCTGGCATAATCCCCAGAAGTTCCAAGTCTAATGATGGTCTTACTCTAAGTGTGTCGGTAATATAAACCACAGCCATTCCTTTATCCACTGCTCACTCACTCATTTCAGACCAAACAGTGTTCATTACTTCTGCTTTTGGATTGCTCAAGGGAAACCTAAGATGGAGGCAGAATGACACTCAGAAAGAGAAATTATGCAAGAAAAAAGAAAAGAAATGAAAGAGGAATATGATGGAATACAGAAGAAGTATCCTTTAAATGACAGTACAAACACCACTGTGTAAAATACTCAATTACAAGTAAATATCTTCCATTCAAAACTAAAAAAAGGGAAATACTTTGACATTGGGGAAATATTCTTTATGGCCAAGAGTCAGATGAGATTATCAATACTACTCTAATGTCTGTACTATACGGATGAAGATACAGCCAACAACTAGTTAGCTTAGTTTAGCTCAAATCCTGGAAACATAGGGATCTATCTAGCCTGGCACTGTCCAAAGGGTACAGGTAAAAGTATTATTAACAAAGTGCACTAAGAGAATTAAAAGTGAAAGGCTGCTGTCACCGCCATATAATTATATCATTTGAATGTTTTACTGATGCATTTACATGTAAGCAGCATGTTAATGTTGGATCTGGTTGAAGTGGAGCTGTTTTTAACAACTTGTTACCTTAAGTATAACAAAGTACTGTATTTTTATGCTTTTCATAGGTTTTGAAAATCTTAATCAGGAAAGCAATCAGGAGCTGTAAGATTAAAGTTGTGGAGAGTAGAAGGTACTATATATTCCCCTGAAAGGTAGTGGAGTCACAGACTGACTTACCTCAGACTTTACTTAAAAGAAGATGTAATTGATTTACTTTTCACCACTGATGGGATAGGAAGACAGATCAGATATCAGGGAAGGCTGAGAGACAGAAACACAGCAAGGATGGCACAATGAAAAAGCAATCAAACGGACAGACGTACAGGCTTTATCTTTCAGTCAAGCCATCTCATTCAGTCACTGAGCCACTACCTTGACACAGTAACTTTATGAACTGCTGCCAAAATTAAGGACAGGGACCAGAGCAGGTCAAGTTAATGTGTCACCACATTGTGAAATCATTGTGTGAATGTGTGCAGGTCGTGTAGAGCTGTAAAGGGAGAAAGGGAGGGTTTATGGTCAAAGGGGCTTATCTCAGCAATTGATCCTCTGGTATAAAATGCCTGCAATGGCTGAGGCTCAGAGTGGACATGCTGCTTCAGCACTGAACCTCCAAACCAACTACTCTCTCCCTCTCCTTACAGTTTACCATCAACGCCTTTCTCTTCTATCAGCCATGGGAGTTGCATACAGCGTTGGAGAGTAAGTGAAACAAATCATCATGGCATTTGTGAACATTGTTCTGCTGGGTCCTGTTATCACTGTGCTATCTGGAGCTGAAAAGACGAGATTTTGTTTTGCTTGCTTCAGTTAATTCAAGCAAGAAAATATGAGTTTAGACTTGCAAAGAACATTGGATTACGACAACATTTTTAAACCAATCTTCTAAATTTACATGTGCAAGGGGGAGTTATTTTTGTCATTCTATGGTAGAAAGAGGTTTTTGCAGTGCAGACTGGTATGTGGAGCTCAAAGAGTGGACGGTTGGGTGTATAGCAGGAACAAAATCAGAAAGGGAGGAGTAGAGAAAGAGAGAGGCATGACTGAAGTTAAACATTCCTAAATCACTTCCAGGACTTCATCAAGGAATAGCAGAGAAGTCAGTCTCTTCTGGGGAACTGTAGGAAGGAAGTAGCAGAATTCAACATAAATGGAGGGGCCACCAATGTACACTTATGGTCTCGGTTAGCCTTAGTCCAGCATGATTATTGCTAAAACATTCAGAGCATGCTTCACTTTCCTGGCATTCATTCCAGGCTAGTCTCAACAGATATTAAAGTATGGCAGAGTGGCATTTGCCCAACAGTCAAATTGTTTTCTCTTTCATGGGAAGGTTGAGTGAACTGTCATTAATGCTTTAAAGAAGAGATGATGTAACATACAGTGTTGATTCTGATTAAATACTTTCAATTGTAGCTATAGCAGGTCACATGAATAAAGACTCATTCAGGTACAATATACAATGATTATCTGTAAGTAAAAAGTGCACTTTGCCCCTTTGCTTTGACAGGGTTGATCACCTCTACACCTTCTTTGTGCAGTGGTCACCAGAAATCTATACCAAGGGCAACAAGAAGCACCGGCAGCCCCGCTACCTCATTAGAGAGAAACATCAGAAACGCTATCTGGTAGTGGAGAAGAACAAGGTGGCTGTGATAAACAAGCTCCTCAGTAACCCTGTCAACTCCACTGTGAAAAACTGGGAGGTAAGGTTTGCACAAACACACACACATAATGTAAGGTTTAACAAAAGCCATCTGTCACTCTCAATAAATCTCCAATTGCAGGTTAACATTAGGTCAAGACAATATGCAACAGCTTATCATTTGTAGATAAACAAGTATTCCCGACTTACAGTAACTGAGGCACTAGACTGCTCGGCAGTTATCCCAGAGGTTGTGGGAAATCCCACTGTTTCTATATATGGGCATCCCTGTCCTCCACATCCTCTACTTTCCTGTTTAGAGAGAAAAGAAACTGTTGGGTATCAGAGCTAACCAATGACAAGCCGCTCCACTCAAGTTTCCAACCAATGGCATTTCAGACATAGAGAGTGAAAGTTACCCAGAAAGAGTACAAAAGGGATGGATGCTTGCTGGTTTGGTTAGCAGACATGCGGTACTACAGAGTGCTGGGCTTGACAGAGAAATCAGGAGACATGAAGCTGCTGCTAGAAAATATCAAAGTGCTTTATTTTGCCAGTGACTGTGTGGAGCCGTATGTTGAGGTAGGACTACTATCCTGCATGTCCTCATTTCAGGAGATACTGAAATTATGGGGTACTTTAGGGGTAAAACATGTTTTATATCACCCATACATCCTAATCCAGCAATCCAGTTATGAACAGTTGTAATGCTGCTGTGTTTAACCTGTGCCTGCATCTTGCAACTAACTCCTGCAAGAACATTTTTACTCTAGATTTTACATGAGCAGTATCTGTGAATGAGTCAATTAACCACAGACCACACAGCTGTACAGTAAAATGTCACTAAACAAAATTAGGACATGTGAAAAGTGAGAGCATGAGGCGGGTTGATTTCTGACCTTCTTGATATATCTTGTGACCTCGTCCAGATTATCACAGTGAAGGACTCCAAGCGGCGTTTGAGTCTGTGCAGCTCGGAGGGCTCCGAGGCAGAGGAGCCCGAGGACCAGGAGGAAGTTGACCTCCCTGTCCTGGGTGACCACAGCCAGCTGCTGGATGAACACCACCTGAAGAGAGTAAGTTACTGCAACACAAAATAATCCAAGTGGATGATCTGGCAAAGATTACAGTCATCAAAAAATGCCTTTTAGTGTTACATCTTTTGATCAACAACTCCTTTTCCAACAGCTTTCTACTCAGATTCCAGCGAGGACCCAGGGGTATAAATGGCAACTGGTCTACAGCACAGCCATCCACGGCAGCAGCCTGAAGACTTTGTACAGGAATATGGCTGATCTGGACAGTCCTGTGCTGTTGGTCATCAAAGACATGCACAAAAAGGTTTGCATCTTTATTTTAACTCCCCAACACTTTTCAGGACCCAACTGCAGTCACACTGATACTTTGATTAACAGTATGTCTGTGGGTAACAACCTGGTTTCTTGGTCATTTCAGGTGTTCGGGGCCTTTTCTTCCGAACCGTTCAGAGCCAGTAAATACTGCTACGGTACCGGAGAAACCTTTCTATTCAGCTTCAACCCTGACTTCCAGGTAAGAGTTGAATTATTTCTTGTTAGTCTGGTTACAAATTACATCTACCAGAAATCTAGTGTGTTATTACGAGAAATCTTTTTTTAATTATTATTTATATTAAAGTTTGCAACCATTTAAGAGCAATTGTCTAGTTTAGGACATATTTTGAATGTGCACTGGATTTAAGCACACGTTTCTTATGTGTCACATTTGGTGTTTTCACAGGCGTACAGGTGGAGTGGTGAGAACTCCTACTTTGTGAGCGGCAACCTGGAATCTCTGGCGATTGGAGGAGGAGGGTAAGTTATGAGGTTGATTTAATTAATTTCCTCTATAAAATACAGACTAAAGGAAATGGCCGACAGTCACATCTGTCAGTGTCATAAAGTAATTAAAAGAACCATATAATATTTACTCTAACTGCTACCTGATATCAAGGATTACAGTTCCTGTTATCTGATCGCATAAAAGATTAGCAGCTTTTAAAAGATTTGACATTAACGTTCTATTTTTTCTTGGCCTGCAGGGGCGGATTTGGCCTGTGGCTGGATGCTGATCTATATCATGGTTCAAGTTTTTCCTGTCCTACCTTCCACAATGAGTCTCTCTCCTCACAAGAAGACTTCATCGTACAAGACCTCGAAGTCTGGACTGTGCGGAACTGAGGGAGAACATCTGACAAGATGAGGTGAAAACAAAGTAGAACCCACTGGACTGTCAGGAGTTATAAAACTTCTAGACTTCAAGGATCATGGGTGATTTAGCCACACTGTACAAAACCTGATAGGGCAGTTGCTATCATCTGTGCATCTGGCTCAGATTAGCCCACAGTATGAAGCCTGCTCTAGTGGTTCTTGGGCTGGACTTTCTGTTTATACTGGTTTGATCTGCGCCTGCTAACAAGTGGCTGGATGAAATCCTGAAATTCAGGGTCGGCTATTCATCAGTAGCCCCTTGCTAAGCACAGTAAGTAACTGGCACCTGAAGCTTTAAGCCCTCCATGCCCTCCCTTGGCTGTGGACATTATAATACAAAGCTCACAGTAGCACTGATGGATAAAAAAATGTCTGTAACCACTGTAAGCACATATAGGATTTAAGGAAAATGTTTTTTTGTTTTTTTTTTCATTTTCTGTCTAAAAACTGAGCAGGTTTGTGAAAATTTAAAATGTGTTTTTACAGTATGTATCTATGTGTGCATAAGTGTGCATATGTTCTATTTGCTCTCATGGCCCCAGGGTTTATGAAACATACTTGATACATAAAGGGCCATACGTATCTTTAAGACAAAAAAAGTTTAGTAATTAATTTATGGTATAAACACTGAAACATGATAGGGCCCACAATGGCCTATCTGGACTAATTGTACAAAGTGTTTTCTTACATGAGGTCTGAATTTAATGTTCTCCATTTTAAAACTACAGCTGCAGATGGTGACCTATCTACTCAGGTTCAAGAATAAAAGTATAGGGTTACACTATAAACAGTTATTATCTGTGATGTGTGCTGTTTGTGGCGGAAGGGACCTCAACTGTCATTTCTGTTTTTTGGAAAGTGACACACATGCTGCCTATTTGCCTAAATGGAAAATATTTTATTAAGAAACAGAAAACATTTAGAATCTTTCAAATTTTTTATTTTTGCTATTTATTTAAATGTATTTAAGAGGAAAAAAAAGCAAAATTTCATGTCCTGTTTGTCTGTTTGTTTCACATTTCTTCATGTTTGTGTGTAAATCTGAGTCTGCCAGGCAGTGCTGGTACTGCCACTGTAATTTTGTGGAACCACATTAACACTTTTTCTTTCCTGGTGAAAGACAATGTTTTCATAGCATTCATATTTCATTATGAATAAATCCTTAAAACAACATCATCTTTTCCACTGAGGACATTGTTTTTGCATGCTTCAAATAACACAATAGGAATATGAATTGTCATATTTGTGTGACTCTCATTTCTAGCTGGATCAGTGTCTCATGGCACGTATGCCATGGCATAGGTACAGACACAACAAACACACGAGCATACACCAATCAGCCATAACATTATGAACACTGAGAGGTGAAGTGAATAACACTGATTATCTGTTTATCATAGCACCTGTCTGTGGGTGGGATATATTAGGCAGCAAGTGAACATTTTGTCCTCAAAGTTGATGTGTTAGAAGCAGGAAAAATGCACAGCGTAAGGATTTGAGTGACTTCGACAAGAGCCACATTTTGATGGCTAGACGACTGGGTCAGAGCATCTCCAAAACTGCAGCTCTTGTGGGGTGTTCCTGGTCTGCAGTGGTCGGTACCTATCTAAAGTGGTCAAAGGAATTAGAACAACCACAAAAGAAATGGTCCAATTGAATATTCTCACAAAAATATGAATAGACTAGAAGTAGAAATAAATAGAAAAACTGTAATAATGCAAACTTGCAGTCTCCCAGACAATAGGTTACTGCACCTGTAGGAACTCCAGGCTGCTAAAAAAAAGGGACCCCCCTATCCATCAAAGGCTGTGTAGATTGCAGTGCCACAAGCCTACAAGACGTCATACATGGAACTGGAAGCTGTAGCCAGTAGAATTTGAAGCTTGATGTGGGTTATGCTGTATCACAATCAAAGTCTGCTACCTATTTGCCTCGTATGTTGAAGGGAGTTGGTGGTCAGTATGATGTCCTACAGCACAAGATATATTCAATAAGTGAAACACAATTATTAATCATTTAGACAAACTGTGTGCTCTCAGTGTATTCATTGATTCCCGCCTTCTAGGTGGCCCAGGTTCTATAGCTGCTCAGACTGATCTAATGTATTAGGTTTAAAGAAAAACAGCTTGATTAAAGATGTACATTTTTAAAATACAATCTAGAATAAAACACAGAGGAAAATGTATTCCGCTTCAGGCCTAGTGTATTATATAGCTTGGCCACTGTGTCATTTTCTACAATTACCAGAATTAAACAGGTAGCATATTGATTGAATGTATTGAACTGCAAGGCCAGTTTCATTGGAATAGGTTGCCAATGTGAGATGAATAATTGTCACTCAGGGCTATCTTGTAAATACCTATGACAGGCCTGTTCAATCACTCTGGTTTTAAAACCAATCTTCTAAATTTACATGAGCAAGGGGGAGTTATCTTTGTCATTCTATGGTAGAAAGAGGTTTTTGCAGTGCAGACTGGTATGTGGAGCTCAAAGAGTGAACAGATGTGCGTATGGCAGGAAGAAAATCAGAAAGGGAGGAGTAGAGAAAGAGAGAGGCTGAAACATTCCTAAATCACTTCCAGGACTTCGGCAAGGAATAGCAGAGAAGTCAGTCTCTTCTGGGGAACTGTAGGAAGGAAGTAGCAGAATTCAACATAAATGGCAGGGGTCACCAATGTACACTTTGTCATGGCCCTGCTCCCTTTGCTCCTCCTCCTTCCCTGTGTGTGTCTGAGGGTGCGGTCTTCAATCACCTCACCTGCTCCCTATCACCTTGTTAGTCTCAGCCCTCAAGTACCCTGGTGTCCTTTTGCTTGGTGCCAGATTGTTGTTCAGCAGACTTGGTGGTACACTCTTGGCTCCACTCAGTGAGTAGCTGGCTCATTAGTGTTTCTCCCTGTTCCTGCCCTCCTGTCTGATCCCTGTATCTCCAGAGTTCCAGGGATCCTTCCCGTGTAGACCAGGTCCCAGAGTCAGCTCTCCAGTGTTTCCGTGTCTCCGGTCCGCCTGCTGAGGCCGCCCCTCGTGTGTGTGTGTGTGTGTGTGTGTGTGTGTGTCCGCCCCCCTAAACACTACACGTCACACACTTATGGTCTCGGTTAGCCTTAGTCCAGCATGTGTGTGTGTGTGTGTGTGTGTCCCGGCCCCCCTAAACACTACACGTCACACACTTATGGTCTCGGTTAGCCTTAGTCCAGCATGATTATTGCTAAAACATTCAGAGCATGCTTCACTTTCCTGGCATTCATTCCAGGCTAGTCTCAACAGATATTAAAGTATGGCAGAGTGGCATTTGCCCAACAGTCAAATTGTTTTCTCTTTCATGGGAAGGTTGAGTGAACTGTCATTAATGCTTTAAAGAAGAGATGATGTAACATACAGTGTTGATTCTGATTAAATACTTTCAATTGTAGCTATAGCAGGTCACATGAATAAAGACTCATTCAGGTACAATATACAATGATTATCTGTAAGTAAAAAGTGCACTTTGCCCCTTTGCTTTGACAGGGTTGATCACCTCTACACCTGCTTTGTGCAGTGGTCACCAGAAATCTATACCAAGGGCAACAAGAAGCACCGGCAGCCCCGCTACCTCATTAGAGAGAAACATCAGAAACGCTATCTGGTAGTGGAGAAGAACAAGGTGGCTGTGATAAACAAGCTCCTCAGTAACCCTGTCAACTCCACTGTGAAAAACTGGGAGGTAAGGTTTGCACAAACACACACACATAATGTAAGGTTTAACAAAAGCCATCTGTCACTCTCAATAAATCTCCAATTGCAGGTTAACATTAGGTCAAGACAATATGCAACAGCTTATCATTTGTAGATAAACAAGTATTCCCGACTTACAGTAACTGAATCACTAGACTGCTCGGCAGTTATCCCAGAGGTTGTGGGAAATCCCACTGTTTCTATATATGGGCATCCCTGTCCTCCACATCCTCTACTTTCCTGTTTAGAGAGAAAAGAAACTGTTGGGTATCAGAGCTAACCAATGACAAGCCGCTCCACTCAAGTTTCCAACCAATGGCATTTCAGACATAGAGAGTGAAAGTTACCCAGAAAGAGTACAAAAGGGATGGATGCTTGCTGGTTTGGTTAGCAGACATGCGGTACTACAGAGTGCAGGGCTTGACAGAGAAATCAGGAGACATGAAGCTGCTGCTAGAAAATATCAAAGTGCTTTATTTTGCCAGTGACTGTGTGGAGCCGTATGTTGAGGTAGGACTACTATCCTGCATGTCCTCATTTCAGGAGATACTGCAATTATGGGGTACTTTAGGGGTAAAACATGTTTTATATCACCCATACATCCTAATCCAGCAATCCAGTTATGAACAGTTGTAATGCTGCTGTGTTTAACCTGTGCCTGCATCTTGCAACTAACTCCTGCAAGAACATTTTTACTCTAGATTGTACATGAGCAGTATCTGTGAATGAGTCAATTAACCACAGACCACACGGCTGTACAGTAAAATGTCACTAAACAAAATTAGGACATGTGAAAAGTGAGAGCATGAGGCGGGTTGATTTCTGACCTTCTTGATATATCTTGTGACCTCGTCCAGATTATCACAGTGAAGGACTCCAAGCGGCGTTTGAGTCTGTGCAGCTCGCAGGGCTCCGAGGCAGAGGAGCCCGAGGACCAGGAGGAAGTTGACCTCCCTGTCCTGGGTGACCACAGCCAGCTGCTGGATGAACACCACCTGAAGAGAGTAAGTTACTGCAACACAAAATAATCCAAGTGGATGATCTGGCAAAGATTACAGTCATCAAAAAATGCCTTTTAGTGTTACATCTTTTGATCAACAACTCCTTTTCCAACAGCTTTCTACTCAGATTCCAGCGAGGACCCAGGGGTATAAATGGCAACTGGTCTACAGCACAGCCATCCACGGCAGCAGCCTGAAGACTTTATACAGGAATATGGCTGATCTGGACAGTCCTGTGCTGTTGGTCATCAAAGACATGCACAAAAAGGTTTGCATCTTTATTTTAACTCCCCAACACTTTTCAGGACCCAACTGCAGTCACACTGATACTTTGATTAACAGTATGTCTGTGGGTAACAACCTGGTTTCTTGGTCATTTCAGGTGTTCGGGGCCTTTTCTTCCGAACCGTTCAGAGTCAGTAAATACTGCTACGGCACCGGAGAAACCTTTCTGTTCAGCTTCAACCCTGACTTCCAGGTAAGAGTTGTAATTATTTCTTGTTAGTCTGGTTACAAATTACATCTACCAGAGATCTAGTGTGTTATTACGAGAAATCTTTTTTTTTTCTCATTTATATTAAAGTTTGCAACCATTTAAGAGCAATTGTCTAGTTTAGGACATATTTTGAATGTGCACTGGATTTGAGCACACGTTTCTTATGTGTCACATTTGGTGTTTTCACAGGCGTACAGGTGGAGTGGTGAGAACTCCTACTTTGTGAGCAGCAACCTGGAATCTCTGGCGATTGGAGGAGGAGGGTAAGTTATGAGGTTGATTTAATTAATTTCCTCTATAAAATACAGACTAAAGGAAATGGCCGACAGTCACATCTGTCAGTGTCATAAAGTAATTAAAAGAACCATATAATATTTACTCTAACTGCTACCTGATATCAAGGATTACAGTTCCTGTTATCTGATCACATAAAAGATTAGCAGCTTTTAAAAGATTTGAAATTAACGTTCTATTTTTTTCTTGGTCTGCAGGGGCAGATTTGGCCTGTGGCTGGATGATGATCTATATCATGGTTCAAGTTTTTCCTGTCCTACCTTCCACAATGAGTCTCTCTCCTCACATGAAGACTTCATCGTACAAGACCTCGAAATCTGGACTGTGCAGAACTGAGGGAGAACATCTGATTAAATGAAAACAAAGTAGAACCCACTGGACTGTCAGGAGTTATAAAACTTCTAGACTTCAAGGATCATGGGTGATTTAGCCACACTGTACAAAACCTGATAGGGCAGTTGCTATCATCTGTGCATCTGGCTCAGATTAGCCCACAGTATGAAGCCTGCTCTAATGGTTCTTGGGCTGGACTTTCTGTTTATACTGGTTTGATCTGCGCCTGTTAACAAGTGGCTGGATGAAATCCTGAAATTCAGGGTCGGCTATTCATCAGTAGCCCTGTAGCAGTAAGTAACTGGCACCTGAAGCTTTAAGCCCTCCATGCCCTCCCTTGGCTGTGGGCATTATAATACAAAGCTCACAGTAGCACTGAAAGAGAGTCTGTAAGCACAATAATTTAATTGATAGAGACAGGAAAGGGGGGTGAGAGAGAGAGGGGATAACGCGCATTAAAGGGCCATAGGTTGGACTTGACCTTGGGCCGCCAAAACAGGGATGTTGGAATGTTGGCACATGGGGCGCCAGCTCTAACAGATGAGCTTTCTAGGCACCCCAGGAAGTTTTCATTTTCTGTCTCAAAACTGAGCAGGTTTGTGAAATTTTAAAATGTGTTTTTACAGTATGTACAGTCAAGCCCAAAATGATTCATACTCCTGGCAAATTTTGACTTAAAGTTACTTTTATTCAACCAGCAAGTTTTTTTTCTTGATTGGAAGTGACACAGGTGTCTCCCAGAAGATAAGACTATGTACAAGAGGCATCATTGTGGAAAAAAATGTATGTATATGTGTGTGTGTGTGTGTATATATATATATGTGTATGTATGTATGTATGTATGTATGTATGTATGTATGTATGTGTATATATATATATATATATATATATATATATATATATATATATATATATATGCGCTTTTATTTACATTTGAACAAAAAGTTCATACTCTTCTCAGTGGTCAATAGAAAAGCCTTTATTGGCTGTTACAGCAATGAAACGCTTCCTATAATTGCTGACTAGCTTTTTTTTTTTTTTTTTTTTTAGCGATGAGCTCCAACTCTTTCAGGTTGGAGGGTCTCCTTGCCATCACCCTGATCTTTAGCTCCCTCCACATATTCTCAATTGGATTCAAGTCAGGACTCTGGCTGGGCCACTGCAAAACATTGTTTTTGTCCGCTAACCATTTCTTCACCACTTTTGCTGTCTGTTTTTTGGGTTGTTGTCTTGCCGAAATGTCCACTGGTGCCCAAGGCCAAGTTTCTCTGCAGACTGCCTGATGTTGTTGTTGAGAATCTTGATGCATTGCTCTTTTTTCATGGTGCCGTTTACTGTGATTAGGTTCCCTGGTCCATTGGCTGAAAAACACCCCCGAAGCATTAGGTTCCCACCACCACGTTTGACAGTGGGGATGGTGGGCTTCTCCTTTTTTACGCAAAATGAATGATACATCATTGTGGCTAAACAATTCAAATTTTGTTTCATCTGACCATAACACAGAAGACCAGAAGTCTTCTTTGTCCAGATGATCATTTGCAAAGGCCAAGCAGGCTTTTGTGTGCCTTATCTGGAGAAGTGGCGTCCTCCTTGGTCTGCGTCCGTGGAACCCAGCAGTGTGCAGTGTCTGTTGGGCTGTCTGCCTTGAGACGTTGCCACCAGCAGAGCTCAGATTCACCAGGATGGCCTTGGTGGTGATCCTTGGATTCTTTTTCACCTCTCTTACTATCCTCCTGGACAGCACAGGCGTCACTTTTGGCTTCCGACCACGTCCTCTGAGATTTCCCACGGTGCGGAACGTCTTGTATTTTTTTAATAATACTTTGCACTGTAGCCACTGGAACTTGAAAACATTTAGACATTGCCTTATAGCCCTTTCCTGACTTGTGTGCAGTCACAATGCGCAGACGCAGGTCCTCAGTGAGCTCCTTTGTCTTAGACACAACTATCCACAAACCTGTTGCAGAGAGCTGCTGTTTTTCACCTGTTGAGTTGATTAAAACAGCTGTTCCCAACAAATCAGGGTAATTAGGATGCTTTAGAACAGCTTAGACTATTTGGAATGGTATAGAACTTTAGATTTTCCCATAGACTGTGACAGTTTGCAAAAGGTATGAATAATTTTGGACATGCCACTTTTTTTCCACAATGATGCCTCTTGTACATCGTTTTATCTTTTGGGAGAAGCCTGTGTCATTTCCGGTAAAAAAAAAAAATGCAATATAAATAAATGTAACTTTAAGTCAAAATTTGCTAGGAGTATGAATAATTTCAGCCTTGACTATATCTGTGTGCATATGTTCAATTTTCTCTCATGGCCCAGGGTTTATGAAACATACTTGATACATAAAGGGCCATACCTATCTTTAAGACAAAAAAAGTTTAGTAATTAATTTATGGTATAAACACTGAAACATGATAGGGCCCACAATGGCCTATCTGGACTAATTGTACAAAGTGTTTTCTTACATGAGGTCTGAATTTAATGTTCTCCATTTTAAAACTACAGCTGCAGATGGTGACCTATCTACTCAGGTTCAAGAATAAAAGTATAGGGTTACACTATAAACAGTTATTATCTGTGATGTGTGCTGTTTGTGGCGGAAGGGACCTCAACTGTCATTTCTGTTTTTTGGAAAGTGACACACATGCTGCCTATTTGCCTAAATGGAAAATATTTTATTAAGAAACAGAAAACATTTAGAATCTTTCAAATTTTTAATTTTTGCTATTTATTTAAATGTATTTAAGAGAAAAAAAAAGCTAAATTTCATGTTCTGTTTGTCTGTTTGTTTCACATTTCTTCATGTTTGTGTGTAAATCTGAGTCTGCCAGGCAGTGCTGGTACTGCCACTGTAATTTTGTGGAACCACATTAACACTTTTTCTTTCCTGGTGAAAGACAATGTTTTCATAGCATTCATATTTCATTATGAATAAATCCTTAAAAAAACATTGTCTGAATATGAATTGTCATATGTGCCTGACTCAAATTTTTCGCTGAATCAGTGTCTCATTGCATATATGCCATGGCATAGGTAAAGACAGAACAAACACACAAGCATATATAAGGATAACTAGAACAACCACAGATGAAATGTGTAATGAAACTGGATAATGCCAACTTGCATTCTGCCAGACAATAGGTAACTGCACCTGTAGGAATAGTTAGATATAGCCCAATCAAATATGATCAGATGTTTCTCTTTATTATATTTGTGTTCAATTTTCTCTAACATAGCTGCACAGAAGGCCACAGAAATACCACATTAGAATTAGCAAAGAAACTTATGTTTCTTATTGTATGTTTGTTAGCAAAATAGTCAGAAATTAGAACCTCCACCACAAGTTTGATTTGATCTTTTGTTTTCTAGTCTATAGTACAGCATTTTATATGATATGTGGAGAAAAGTGTAATGATATCAATTACGATTAATCAACAAAAAAACATTTGAGAGAATTTAGAGGTTGATCTGCAAAATACCAGAGAAAAAAAAGCCAAACCACAGCAAATTTCCTGGTATAGTGGGTGCCCACACCCACTACACTGTGCCTACAGACTCGTACCCTTTCCATGGAAACAGGTGCACAGAAAGGCCAAAAACATCAACAAAAAAAACCAAAACATATTTAATCTTCAATATTGCTGGCTTCAGACCTCAGCATAAAGTGTGTAACATTTAGGAGGATCTATTATCTGTTAATTCTCCCCTTTTTAATAGCACCACATAGTCACACTAGTCAAAAAGTCTCAGGTTAGGTTGAAATGTAGCTAAAATAATGAGGGGTGTGTGTTTTCATGAAGCACATTGATACGCTGAATTAAGGCATTTGACAAAAATAGGAAAAGTTAGAAAAGTTAGACAAGGATTTTGGAAAATTGGGTTAAGTTGATAATCAGGTAAATTGAGTGACCATATATAACATGTTAAACCACATCGCTCTCTGGTGGCAGCATTCTTCCCTTACACGTTCAGATCGGCAATCTTTCGGTTTCCCCTTGTCAGCTCGATGACCTCTGGGATCGACTGTGCGGGTCTTACGTCTGACAGTACAACAATGGCGGGAGTCGAGGCTACACAACCTGCCCTGGTGGATAGTTCCAAAAGCAGCAGCGCGCCAGCTGAAGGATATGACAAAAAATGTATTTTCTGCAAGATTGTAAACAATGAAATGGGCACGGAGCTTCTTCACAGTGTGAGAATATTGTACTCATTAAATAATATTGAGCGCCAAGCTAGCTAGCGTTAGCCTGTTGCCTTTGTAGTCAGCTGTGTTCAGAAGCATTAGCTCTGTAACAACTGGCTTTGTGAGGATGTAGTTCATGTTTACTTGTCTTTATGTAAGGTACTATGTAAGCTAAGTTAATTGTTTAGTGATTTAACATTTGTATTCAGTCCTGTAGTTTGTAGTTTTATAGATTTAGTGTTTTTTGTTGTGTTATTGTGTTGTATTGTTGGGTGTGCCTCAGGTTCTCCTCTTTAAATTCACGGGTTGTTGTTGTTGTTGGTGTATTGTGTCCAGCTGATGCAGACATGTGCTAGCTTGGTCCTGTTTTATGTAGCTCATGTTTGCCCAACCTTTGCATTACACAATCACTGGAGGTTCCTGTTTGTAAACTACAGGAGAAGAGAGTGAATACATAACGTTATGTGATTTAATTAAATTAATTGTAGTTATAGTAATAAGTTGCACTGAAATAAACACTACAGTCTGCTCCCGTTTACCCTTCCAGTCCTGAAGCTGATTTATTAATTTGTATTTGCTGACTAATTCATGTATCTCCGCTGCAGGATGAGGAAATCTCATGTTTCAGAGACATCAAACCTGGAGCTCCCCACCATTACCTGGTGGTCCCAACCAAACATGTTGGGAACTGTAAATCACTCAGCAAAGAACATGTGCCTTTGGGTGAGGTTTAAACTAAAGGTCTTATTGCTGGTGCTTGTGTAAACAGTTGCAGTTGTATAGATGCATAAACGTATAGATGTAGCAGTCCTCACTTTATGTCAACTCAGACAATTTCAGTGCATTGCTAACTGCCTCTGTGGACAATTGTATCTTGTGTTAAATATTTGTCAACTGAATAAAATATAGTTAATTAAAAGCAATACTCTTTTTCAGTCGAAAAACCCTCTTATTTTTAATGAGAACTTGTATTTTGTTTATAAAGGAACATGTGTTTGTATTGTCACACCCAGTGAATCGGATGATCGAGACAGGAAAGGAGATCCTCCAGAAAAACAACATAACAGATCTCAGTGATGTCAGGTGGGCTGCATTCATTGATACATTTTATAGTACACAGCTCTTCTCACTGATAGTTAATTCCTCCCTCCCCTTCCAAGTGCTAAGGAGAAAATATGGTGGCCGTAAAATGTGCGAAAAACGTGAACAGCCCTATGTAGAGTGTTTGCTTTGTCTGCTCTAGGCTACTGTAGAAATATGGCGGGTTAACATGCCAGATAAAAACATCCCATTCTAAGGTAACAAAGACATAACGATTCTTATTTTCAGATGAATACACTAATGAAATCATACCTATGAATATTATATTACATTTCTGCCAAAAGATCCACCCTTTAATAATGTGTGTCTAGATAGACAAACAAGCAAACAATCCACAGTGATGCTAGGTGATGATAAACATTATACTTCAGTACACATTATCGCAGCATCTACTTTAATGTAGTGTAAACTGAACTGTTTACATTAAACTGTTTTCCAAGTGAACAGTAGTATTCAATCTAATGGACACTGTAATTGATAAACTGTTGTCACTGACTAACTGATTATTTAGCTTCGGTAACATATCTGTTGCTTTGTTGACGTAGCGACAGTGAGACTGTGCAGTAAAGCCTTTACTTTGTCTGCAGGTTTGGTTTTCATTGGCCCCCGTTCTGTTCTGTCACACATCTACACCTTCATGTCCTGGCACCTGCCAGTCAGATGGGCTTCATGTCCCGCCTCTTCTACAGACTCAACTCCTATTGGTTTATCACAGTAAGCCCCCTCTTCGGTATTTGTAATAGAAATACAATTGTACATTTAAGGATTTGTAATTATCCTTATCATAAAATATGAATTTCTTGCAGGCAACATGGTTTAAAAGTGTAGAGACAGTAGAGATATATAATTAATATCTAATAATTCAACAGACTCATTATTTTTACTGATCTTTCATGTTTCTCTAAGTCACTCACTAAGAGTGTGTTCAGTTTCTTTTCACAGAAGTGGAAAGTATTCATGTAAGAATGAGAAAATATGGTTTATTGATTGGCTTACACTTATAAGAGCCAGCCTCTGCCTCCTGCTGCGTAAGGAATTTACAGTATAAAAGCTGGTATTATAGAAGTAACTGACCAGAGGTTAGTTAGAGTTTTAGGTCAGGTGGTATTGCTGAGCAGTGCGGGAATGTAGCAAAACACCTTTTTATTTGGGCACCCATATTAACAGATGAGAGCAGTCACAGCAGCAGCCACACAGCTGACATGCTGTAAACATTGCGCCAGACGCAGCTGTTCAGCGCCGTAGCCGTCAGACGCTGCTCAGGTAGGCAGTGTGAACCAAGGGTCAGTCTAATTTCTGTTCCGTCCACATCTGTTAATGTGTTGCAGGCAGACCAGCTGATTGAGCTTATCAACTCTAAAGGAGAGACCAACTGATCACTACGACTGTGATGAAGTGACTGAAACATCCACCTTCTTATAGATGTCATACTGGATGATACACAGCCGCATTATGTTGCTCTCTGTTTGGCCGGAGCTGATGACAGTATTTTAAACTGATGACATATTCGTAACAAGAGACCACTTGGTTTTACTTTTGGTATGAAAACTTTTCAGACTGCATGCCAAATCTTTTTTCTTGCTACTTGAGACATGGCACACACGTTCAAGGATCAAGGTAAACAATTGTTTTAACATTTTTACAGAAGAAGTTAATTGAATCTCCATTAATCTGCCATAATAAAATGTATTTATGTTATTGACCAAGTAGGATACAGTGTGATTCACATCTGTTAATCACTAAAGAAAATGTTGAAGGCATTCTTTCTTTTTATTGAATGTAAAGGTGAACTGAGTGGAACAGTAGATGTATTGAGGTGGTATTTCAGCCTGAAACGCACATACAATTAATGGTTTGATTGCTTGACAAGCAGGACTATGTTAATGCTTTACAGATATGATTTTATGCATGTGTAACAGAAATTAATATGAAAATCTGTAAGAAAAAAAGTTTTTGTGTAATTCATATACTGGCATAACGTATTGCTGTGTATACCATGTTATGTTGAGTTATCTCTTTACTGATGGGCATTTTGTGGCCTAGACTGGCTCGGCTGCTTTATAGTGGAGGCAACTAAGTCATCCTCTGATGTTGTAAAGGATGCTCAATGAGCTCAACAAATACTGAAATATAGTGTAGTATTTGTTAATACATGCTCAATTATTTGATTTGGTGTAATGTCTCAAGATTGTGTTCAGATATATAACATGAACTGACTGGTTGGTGCATGAAGTGAACAGGTATGCTGTACTTTACTGCTGTATGTTAAGGAACCTAAAGAAAGAAGATACTACTGTATGTACTGTACGAAAGCGTATGCACTTTAAGAATGAATTGAATTTAGAATAAATAATATATTGCTGCTCTTCAGTGTGTTTTTAATGTACTTAGTCCTAGATATCAGTTTACACTCTCTCCGTGCTTACAGTTCACAAAGCACCGACAGTAACACAATAACAGAGAGGGCACTGTTCTTTCTTTCTTTATTATACAGTCAGCAGTACTTGGTAGTTGTTCAATATACTACTGCCTTATGCTCAAAAAGGTATTAGTTTGCATGTCCATTATGTTTAATAGCAGCAGATATCATGGCTTATATCAGTCAGTGCATAGTTTACTATGTAATTCTCAGTCCATTAAAGCACCATGTTTAGTTCATAGAACATCTGTCTCACTGTGGAGGTTTACCAAGTTTCAAACTCTAATGACACTGCCAAAATTACAAAGCACACTTGTAATAAATACATGCTCTGGAGCACCCAAGCCAAGTTGGATCAAGTTCATCCTATAGCACCATATTGTCTGTCACAGGCAGCCTCATGTTCTCTTTGGCTTTGGTTCAGTCTCATTAACCACTCTGACTTCATTTCAGCTGCTCACTCCTCCACTTTCACCGCATTAAAAAGCTAGAGAAGAAAATGTAGCAAAAGGGATTTCTTTTAATCTCTCCACTGTTATTTAGAGCACGGAGGATTCAGCGTCACTGAGAGTCGCATGAAAATCTACTATTTCTGAACACAGCTACAAAGTTGGACAATATTGGGTCAAAAACCCCTTAAACATACAGTATATATTTTGACTGGTGCACCTGCAGTTTAGGTACAAATGGTGTAGACTTTCTGAAGTGCCATTAATTGCTTTTAAAAGTCAAATATCAACATGCTGATGACTTCTTGGTATGACCCAAATTCATAACAGCTAGTGTAATTGTGTCATTAGTGATAGTTCATTAACTTTTATCTACACTTTACACTGCTCTACAGTAGATTTATTAGATCTTGTTTTTTAGCATGAGGAGAAAATGCAGCAGTTATGCCTAATGTACATTGTGCAGGGAAGTGGTGTGAATTTTCACCAACTGAGGTTTCTTAAGTAAGCAAGAAAAAGATTATTATTGTAAATAAAAGTGCCATAATGTCGCTATGCATGTACTGCATGTGAATCAAGGCATAAACGCTAATCCCAGTTTTGGATCACTGCAACAGAGTGATAACCACATGGTCATCCTGCCCCTGCCACAGCATCTCCCCCTCAAATTCAACCAGCCTCTGCTTCCTCGCTCGTAGAAGAATCCCCACCAGTTTATTAGAGATAGTCACATAACGCTCAAACAGTTTCCCGAATTCTACAGTGACCACTCGGACCCTGTCTTTGTCTCTTGGCTCTCCAATGTTCCTTATCACCTCACACAGCTCCTGAACCTCTCTGCTGATGTGTGTGTGAGCATCCTTCCCCCGCTGCTCTGTCATGGAGCCCTGAAGGGGCCTCCCGTAGTCGTCCTGCCCCCTCTGAGGGACCACCACACTGGGCCTGGTGTCATGACTGAATGGGTTGTGCTTCTGGTACTCCTGGTGCTCATTGGACCACTTCTGCCAGTTCTCCTTTAAGCCTTTCACAGAAACGATGCACACTGCAGTGTCGTCGCTAAACTGAGCAGGAGCTAGGACGTTATCTTCAGTCTCCATGCCGGTGGTGCTCTGGCTGTTCGTCCCCATCACGGATTCTGTTGCACAGAAGATAAAATAAGATAGTATAGTCTAGTTTTGATTAGTAATTTTTACATACAGAAATAATGTATACTCAATGATGTTGTACTCAACATATTATAGCCATTTAATGGTTTTATTGCATTATAATTTAAAAAACAATAACCAATAATCATCTAAATACTAATTTGGATTTCAAGCTGAACCTTATATTTCACCTGTTTACCTGTGGTTTTGTGATCCAGCTGTGCAGATCTGTATAGGAATTTATGGTAAGTAATGATTTAGAGTTCAGCAGTTTTAGACCACAGTCTGAACAATGAATTCAATTAACAAATCATAAAAACCAAAGAAGAGTGAAAACACAACATCAGTATCAGTTCATTAAAACTAGAAGAAGTGAACATCCTTCTTTGTAAAGTCTGTACAACCTTTCAGAGATTTGAGTTATCAAACATGATCCAACTCACATGTCACACACTGACTCGATCCTCACTTCACCTGCAGAGATCTTTCCAAACCCATCCTGTTGTTACACTGTAACTATGTAGTTCACTTTAACAATATTGCAGCAATGCTGACAGCAGCAGAGTGCGGACGGTCCTCTGTCCCGAGGCAGAACCACTGTGATGGACATCCGTCTCGGCCAATGGGCTGTGAGAGCAGATCCGGGCAGCCAATCACTGATCAGAGAGGGAGACAAGGTGCCTCTGAAGTAAAGCAGATTACAGCCTGGAGAGGAGTTTATCCGGGCACACCAAGAGCAGAATAGTGAGTTACTGATAACAAAAAGGTTCCTATAGGTGACATGTTGTTGTTTTGGTAAAGACAAACCAACAAGCCAACAAGCAATATAGCAACTTCAATTCGGACAAAGCCACCAAATTATATTAAATTATATTATTAAATCTCAAATTAGCAGCAGCCAGTGGAAACACCTGTTATCCGCCTGTAGATATGTATAAAAACCCGCAAATAAAAACAAACAAACATGTTGCATAATTACATTTCGGACAATGTATTGTAAGAACATTCTTTACCATGTATGGTGATTGGGTGACCGGGCGGTACTTTGGGTCTGAACCCGGTTTCAAGCCGGACGTTTTTTGCATCTGCAACCAAAATGGCGACCACCAACAGTCGTCCACGCCTTCAGTATTTATTACATCTCGCCCAAGATAATCTGGACTTCAGGTTGCCGGTAACCTCCTTAAACTACTGCCACTTTAGACCTAGCTCTGGTTATGAATGTTTACGTTAAAGTGTTGGCGGAAACAGAGGATGTGACATTAAACAACATCCGCTGCTCCCCTGCTGAGCTACCGTAGCTACTTGCTAATTCAAACTGCAACATCTGTCTCATCTGGCCCTGTAGCGGGGACATTGCATTTAGAGAAGTTCTTGATTTTTCCGTATGATAATAACACATTGACACACCTCTGTGATCTCCTATCGACAACTGCTAGTTCAATCCAATGTGTACACATGTGTAAATCTTTCTATGGGAGTAACATGTGTGATAGACTATCTGGACGAGTGGACATTATAGTCTTAATCTGCTTTAATGCATTTCACTGAGTTTTTTTTACACATGAAGATCAGTTCATCTGTCACATGGAGTAATGGAGTACTGTGTAAACAGCTGTAAAACATCTTTGAGACTACACATTTACACATTTATAACTAACAAACTGAAAGACACATTTATCAGACAAATGGGCCTAAATGCTAAATTGTATGAGCCATAATACTAATAATATTTCACCTTCAGTTTAATTGAATTAATCTCTCCCCCTTTATGAATTTGCAATACTAAATTTATCTACCTATATGTGTAATGTTTCCTAACAGATTGTAATGCACGTATCAGTATTTCTTATAAATGTACTCATTCTTCCAGGAGATTAAGGCTTTGTTGGCCCTCAGAGGAAAACCATTCCAGCCTAATGAAAACTTCAAAGAAAAGGTTTGCAGGTGTATTGTACCTGTTTTTTATTCTTGTCCTTTTTCTTTTAATGTTTTGAGGTGTCTGTCCTGTAGACCCACACTCACTCCTCCTCCTCTCTCTAGTCTCCTTTCTGGTGTCTGGATGGTTTGTCTGAGGAGGACGTCCGCGGCATCATGGCCAGATCTGTTTGTGCAAAGTAAGTGTTGATAGATTGACCTTAGGACCAGTGTGTATGATTTAGTGGCATCTAGCAGTGTAGTTCAGATTGCAGCTCCTTTGTTTCACCTTCCAAGTGAAAAGGAGAAACTATGTTGGCCACAAAACGCACGAAAAACCTTTGGTTAGTCCGTTCTACTGAGCCACTCTAGAAACATGACATCCTCCATAGAAGGCTGTAGATATAAAAGACTCATTCTAGTGTAACAAACATAACAATTCCTATTTTCAGGTTATTATACACTAATGAAAACATACCTATATTTCATTCCTGCCAATACACACTGAACCTTTAACATACTCCACATATTGCCATCCATCCTAATCTTTGCCTTGTTACCATGGCAGTACTTTCTGTACTGTAGTGGCTAAAATGAAGCTGTAGCTCATGTTGCATTATCCTTTCAGGTCCGCTTTTGAACTATGGGGCCATGGAAAAACACACAGTGAACTCAGAACATCCCTCTTGAACTACCCATCAGAGAACATGGTTGGTGACATAACGTCTTATAGCACCACTGTGTTTGATCAATCGCTGCAACTTTAGTAAACTATCCATATGTAACACAGTCTAAGCTGGTGTGTTTAATTTCTGTGTGTGCTCTTCCTCCATGTTCCGTTACAGTCACCGTTCATGCACAAAGATTCAACTTACAGAATAAATGTCTACACTTTCAACAAGACTCTGGAGTTTTCAGACAGAATCAAAAGGATTGATGTGAGTATTTAGATGTGTGTGAATGTGTTCAGAAATGTGTGTGGTGTATATGCATCGTTGACTGCCTGTGTGTATGTCCTCAATGTCATGTTTTGCATTCTCTCTCCAGGCTTTGGAGTATCTTCCTTTTGATGGCGCAGTGAGCCTAAAGAGCCCTCAGCACATCTTCTGTTTGATGGAGGATTACGGCACAGACCCCAACAACATCCCAGAGAACCCAGACTACATCTACTTTGGCCGATGGGTGAGATACATTTGACTGTTTACATTTGACGAATAAGAGGTGATCTGCAACTCAACACTTTCCATCTTTGCACACTCCTGCACCAGATAGCAGACGGACAGCGTGAACTGATTCGCTCCCACAGTGTGAAGAACAGACACTTCATTGGAAACACCAGTATGGATGCTGGGCTCTCATTCATCATGGCCAACCACGCTAAGGTCAAAGAGAATGACCTTGTCTTTGACCCGTTTGTCGGCACAGGTGAGATGATCCTTGCACGGACTCTCACACACGTGCGTAGCTCTAAACGGTCACACACTGTTTGTCAAATCACTGTGGGAAATCTGTGTGAATAATTGATTTCAGTTCTTTGTATCTTGATGTGTTTCAGGGAGCCTGTTGGTAGCATGTTCTCAGTTTAGAGCCTATGTCTGTGGAACAGATATCGATTACAACACTATTCATGGCAAAGGTAAGTTTACAAGTATGTGACAAAAGAGAGCACACATAGTCTGAAAATATTGCTCAACGTTTAAGTTAAATTAAGTAAATGAAATAAATTAAATATAGGAAAAATCGGGTATGTCTGCAATGTCTGTACGAGTGGTGAGGAGTGTGTGTATGAATGTGAACACAAAGTACCACCAGTAACAAGCGCAGTCAGCAGGTCTGATTTATAGCCTCCAGAGCCCAGCCTGCTCAGGTGTGCTGCATCACTGATGAAGTCTCAGCTCCACTCCTCACTTCCCTATTCTGTTCTTTCTTGCCAACAAAAAAGAACAGAATAGGGCCAACCCCGAGGCCATCACCAGACACAATATACTTTAGTTATATTTTAATTAAAGCATGCAAATATTGTAAATTCTGGACCCTACTCTGACTGCTTCCAATTTCAGATGTCATACAGATTTCCTAATGGTGCCTTTATCTTCCAGGTAGGTCAAGCCGTAAAAACCAGAAGTGGCGAGGACCTGATGAGAATATCAGAGCCAACCTGCGGCAGTATGGAACAGAGAAGATGTATGTAGATGTAATGGTGTCTGATGCATCCAAGCATGTGTGGAGGGCGGCTGCTCTGTTCGACGCCATCATTACTGATCGTAGGTCCTTAGTTTACTCTTCACAGACCACTATTCACACTTAAAGCATTCTGAGAAAATTGTGACAAATGTTTCGATAGTGTTTGTTTTTTCTTGTTTGTGACTTCCTCTTTGGTCCTTTTGATGTCAGCTCCGTACGGTATCCGTGAGTCCACAAGGAGAACGGGCTCCCATAAAGACGTTACTAGACCCCCCGACAGCAAGTAAGTTCGCCTGCTCCTATATGACTAAATTACGAAATGTACCTAAATTTGGTCATAATGAGGCCATATTTTACAGCAGGGGTACTCTGGACAGTCTACAGTCTGCAGATTTTCTTTCCAACCTCCTACCTCAGCAGGTTATTTCACAGATGAGTTCTTCTCTACTACTTGAAGGATCAGATGGAGTCTTAGCGTCTTACAGTCTTGGAGTCTGCTTGGAATGAAAACCTGCAGACTGTTATCTCTTCAGGACACATGGTCGGCCACCTCTGTTCTATCAGTGAATTTCTGTTAGCTCTCACAGTTATCTTTAGACTTTTCCAAGACATCATTTAAGTCACACACTTTTTGGTCTACAATAACTTTGCCCAACTACAAATCTGTTTTAAGAAAAAAATGTTTTGTTGCCCTAAACCTACTTGTGTTTATTTGACTCTCCCACACAGCTACGTAGAGTCTCACGTCCCCGTCTCACAGGCGTACCACCTGAGTGACATCTTCACAGATCTGTTAAACTTCTCCGCCCAGCACCTGGTTATAGGCGGGAGGCTCGTCTATTGGCTGCCTGTCTACATACCAGAGTGAGTGTTCAGACAACAATTCTTTTTCCAGATAATAATTTGTATCAATAGGGGGCAGGCTCATACCATAAACTAGAACTGCACCATACAGGCTTGTAGTGAGGACAAATCCCCCAAATAACCAAACAACATGAATTAAAGGATTATTATAATGTAAACATTTTATAAAATCTAATTACTGTATATAATTAAAATTGACTTTGTAGACTAATTGAGGGAAGTGTTGACAAATTAGTTAATAATCTGCCAAATGTTTTTAAATCCCTGGGGTGTGTTTGTAATTGGCACACAAAGGACTTTTCCACCACACTTTTTTTTTATCTTCCAGCATTTCCGTGTAGTGCTATTCCCTTACAACATCGTCCCGTGTGTGTAACCACCTGTGTGAATGACAGTGTTTATACAGAGTAGTATACAGGTGTGTTGAGGTTTTCCTGCCCCAACAGCTGTGTTACGGTAAACCACACCTGACAGCTCCCTGATACGTTCCCTCTATAAGACGTCTCTTCTAAAACACAGTTGTGCATTGTTAAATGTTCTGTGCATTAGCAGAAAGTGAAGTGCTGACTCAAGGTGCAGGTGTTTGACTGTAAAGCTAAGAACCACAACAGACAGTGGCAGCAACAAACTTTTAGGAAGAAACCCCCCTGCAGGGCTGGAGGCCCTCCTGGTCACTGATTATAAGACCGGGAAGGAGATGACATAATCATGCATCCTCTGGTTTTTAGTGTGTGTGTGTGTGTGTGTGTGTGTCTGTCTGTCTGTCTGTCTGTCTGTCTGTCTGTCTGTGTCTGTCTGTGTCTGTCTGTGTGTGTGTGTGTGTGTGTGTGTGTGTGAGAGAGAGAGAGAAAGAGACAAGCACAGGTACAAACACACCTTGAAAACCTCTGGACCTTTGCTCATGTCCTTTTGTGTCTGTGTGTGTGTATCTCCACATATGCATCCACATATGTGTGTGGTCCCATGTATGAACCCCCCATACATGTGTGTCATCATGTTCACACATTTGTCTTTGCTTCTCATCTACCAGTGCTTGACTCTGTGCCTGTCAGAGCGCCGTGCCAAAATAAACGTCTGAGGCCAGGCGAGTTAGATATGTGAACTATCCGTCTCTGCAGTCTGACCTGTGTGTGTGTGTGTGTGTGTGTGTGTGTGTGTGTGTGTGTGTGTGTGTTTGTGTACAATCGCATGTGTGTTTTAGGATATGTGTGTCTGTGTGTAAGCCCAGACGTAGCCTGTCTCCTGGGCCTAATCTGGGGCTCTACAGGGGAGATATCCGGTTTCTGTCACCCCCACATATGTGTGTATCTGCCTCCATGGTTGTGTTAGAAACAGTGGGGATTGTGTGTGTCTGCCCGCTTCATGGGGAGGCTGGTGACAGGTGACACAGAGTCCTGTCAACAAAAGACTGCGTCTAGACCAGGTCAGACCCCTTAAACTCTCTTCCCTTTCTCCCCCTAAAAAAGAAATGAAGGAAGAAAAAGTATCAAGATGGATGATGCAGTATCAGTCATCACAGCCATAAAATGACCTAATTACAACATAAACAAGAGAAGCAAAGAAATGAAGTGGCTTTATTGTCAGAAGTAAAGCGATACATGCATCATTGATAGCATATAGAGTATAAATGAGCCATGGTTTCATTTTCAGGTCATCATTTTTTACTTCAGTATAAGTTTCTGGACATTTTGAATCATGTGTTTTATGTAAATACAGTTTACGTCATATCATTTTGCGTCTTGTGTGATAAACCTCCAACCCGCCTCACCACTGTTGTTATTACAGATTTAAGTGTCATAAAGAATAAGGAGATTGTTTAAACTAGTGTGAAACATAAAGCCTGTGAGCAGTAGCGTTATCTTCCCAAAGTCAGTGGAAAAAGAAGCTCTGAAGGTGAGAGACAACGTCTGCCTCCACTTGGACATTAACACTCGCTCAACAGGTACGGCTCTCCTCTAATGACTCCTGATTGGCAGAAGAGAATTATCACCTGGCTGCTTCACCGCTAGTCACCGTGACGACCAAACATCCCGTCGCCACAGAGGCCCACATGTGGCCATGGCAACGGTGCAGACAAACAGTGACGGGCAAATCTGGCTCTGAGTCGGGACTGTTGCTGCTCTGATGGTGGTTAGGAGAAAGTGCTACTGACACAAATATGCAAACACATACATCATCCGCTGTTAATAGGCCCTAACCTGGCCTGGCTGGTGATGACAGAGCCAGCAGTCGACCTGTCAGGTCAGAGTCACTTTTTCCACCTTCATCTTTACACAGAGTGAGCTACCTTAGCTGTGGTTACACTGCAGTGGTTGAGTGTTTAGTGATTTGATTGGTGAGAGAGAAACAAAGAGCCATGGAGGGAGAAGGGAAATACATTGGAATGGGTGGCAGAGAGAGAAAGTTAGGTAGTCATTTTGAAAGGATAAGTCTCTTTGTATCTCAGCATTCTGGCCTCCAGACAAAGTAGGAAGTACATTGTATTTACAAAGGCCTTAAACATTCCTCACATGTGGTCCTTTAGGTGTGTACAGTTGAAAGGTGTTATGCCCAGATGAAGAAAATTAGTCTACCTCTGCTTTTTTCTTTCTGCTCCTTACTTTCTGTAGACTGTAACTGTGAGTGTGTTTGTGTCATCATTTCAGGTACTGTGAGGAGATGGTACCTCTTCACCCGTGTCTCCGAATCATCAGTAACTGTGAGCAGACGCTCTCTAGCCACACCTCACGACGCCTGATCACTATGGAGAAGATCAAGGAGCCTGAGGTGTGTGCATATACTTTTGAAAATGTCTGTATTAGTTCTGAAACACCTAATCAGTTCATTTATAAATTGATCAACAGAAATGGAATTGGAAACTATTGACCAATTCATTGTTTAGTTTTTCAAAAATGCCAAACATTCATGTTTTCTTTGTCATTTGTTAGTAAATGGAACAGACTCTGTTTTGGTCTGTTGGTTGGATAAAGCTCTATCTCCACACTTTGTTGTAGCGCTGGAGAGAGGTCTGGCTGAACCTATTTTTCTGGCATAAAAAAAAAAACTGTCTGGTTTGTGTTTATTTAAACCAATCACAGTCATATTGGGCGGTATTAAGCCCCGGTTGCAGCAACGGTGGCCTTGCACAACAGTCTATCAGAGGCAGTGGGTGGGGAGGAGAATTCTGACTGAAATAGTTGGCCAATGGCAAGCTTATACCCCCAGCCTACTTCCTGTGAGTCAGACTAGATAAAATAAGCGATTTGAATTTCATTACAAACACTGCAAATATTCATTACATTTTTGTTTTCATATGCTTTTTTGCCTACAGATGTTGTCATTGCTCTCACTCTGCACACACAGTAGCACAAATGTATACTCACTACTCATTATTTTACAGGATTTTAAATGTTATTTTTTCTTCTGATGTGTGTAAGGCTGTAAAGTTGACCATATAATCTAATTGTATTCATCCACAACTTAAATATATTGTTTTAATTTATGTATTGTGGTTGCATGGGGATAAATGACATCATATCTGCACAGCGGCAACCTGTGCGTGCTGCAGATTTGTTTACTGTTTTTGTATGTGTGAGCATGAACAGCCACATAGATATGACTTGGTGTATGTAAAATGAATGCATGTGTGTGCCTGCCTGTTCTTTCATGTTTTTTGCAGTTTGTAGAATTGTTTGTACGTGTAACCACATAAGTATGCGTCATGTTCGTGTATTTAGTTTGTGCGTACGTACGTGTACGTTATCCCAATGGAAGTGATGGTGTCTCTCTGTCTGTCTGGGGTAAATCCTCACCATCTGGCTATGATTGGCTCATTTCTTTTATACTCGAACCCTAAATGGCTTAATCACACATCGTATGGAAAACAATCCATCTTTGGATCTGACATCCATTCCATTTCAAAACCCCAAATTGCTCCCATAAAGGGCCTTGTATGACATGCACGCACAAACACACAGCTGTTTGATCTTATCTGAGTGGTATCTATCTCAGGTCACAGAGTTTTTCCTTTCCAAATCTGCACCTATCTGCACTCATCGGGGTTCACAGCTTGTGTGTGTGTGTGTGTGTGTGTGTGTGTGTGTGTGTGTGTGTGTGTGTGTGTGTGTGTGTGTGTGTGTGTGTGTGTGTGTGTGTGTGTGTGTGTGTGTGTGTGTGTGTGTGTGTGTGTGTGTGTGTGTGTGTGTGTGTGTGTGTGTGAGAACACGTTAAATGTGTTTGTATGGCTATGATGCATGTGCATGTGTGCTTTGACAATAAAGGGGCCAGCCTAATTGCTGTAAACATTTCCTGTTAAACTAGTGCAAGAAAATCTCTTTGAAACCTCACATTTTCTTATTTATGGGATGTGACATAAGGTGTTTGGTGGCCATAAATTACTTATTTGCCCAATTTAACCCAACATGTATATAATCCTCCACCTGCATAGTTGTTGGCGAAGATTGAGTGGTTATTTCCACAGTTCCCAGTTGTTTGTAGTTCTATCCCTATCTTTATTAATTTGGGGTCATGGTTATGTTGTCAGTCTTGTTACCCAGAGTTTTCCCTCAGAGTGGTCATGGAAACCATTTGCAGGTTGCTTGGCAGCATCAGCAAGCAAAAGAGAGGTGTTGCTGACAAATTACAGGCCCAGCATCGGAGTCATCACTTCCAACTCAACTCACCTCATTATTCCTCTTCCCAGCATCTCTCTTCCTCCCTTCCTCCCTCCGTTGACCAGCTTCCTTACAGCCAAGACAAACTGTTTAACAGTTCATATACGTTTTTAATATACACGAAGACTTGTCCCGTTCTTACATGCAAACCAATATTGTACTGACACGTAGTGTGAAAAAGAGCTGTTTCAACTTGTTACCACATTTTAGTCTCAACACATGCTACATTTGGAGAGGAAAGCAGTTGCCTGTTTTTATTTCTTATTACATTCTTTAACAAGCTCTAAGAAATAAGAACATGTTCTCCAGTTTGTATTCCTCTATGTATAATGTGGCTAAGCGATGTAAGACGTTCTCTTTGTTTGTTCTGAATGGGAGAAACAGGCAGCACTTTTTGGAAGTCAAGTTAAGTTCAGTACATTAACCTCTACATTTGTCTCTGTACAGGAATTAGACGGCCTGTTTCATCGTGCAGACCCACGCTTCAGCCCCTACCAGGGACACAACGCCTTCAGAGAGAAGTATTTCAGTGGCGTCAACAAGAGGTGTATCAAGGACGACAACAAATCCAATGTCAATGGAGAGTGAAGGAATTAATCACCCAAGATGGAGATCACAGAAAATCTCAGTGTCTTTTAAAGAATAGAAGAAAAACATCAGGAAACAAGAACCAGGGCATGGTTGTCAGTGGACTCAAAGAGGGAACCTTATTTAGTTGTACTTTTTAAAATCTTTCTCACTATTTTAATTATTATTTGTATGCCTATACGTTATTGCTTTGCAAATAAATTGATACAATACAAATATCCTGTCCTGAGTGCTCACTTAATATTAAAACTACAAGATGGCTGACTGCCTGAACGGTAAATGCAACTTTTGTTAATATTCTAAAAATACTTTTGTATGGACACATGGATAAAGAGACACTCCAGTGAATTAGTTGTACAGTGAAAAAAGTCCATGCCTCCAGTTTGTAACAGACTTTCTGTTAAAGTGTATGAATTTTCCACCACTTCTATGTAAACCAGTTAATTCAGTTATTAAAAACAAAAGGCTAAATTAATACATAAAAAGCAAATACAAATAAAGTACATTGTATTTCACTTTATTCTTTTTTTAATTTAGATTTTATTATATTATAAAATCTTCTATAGGGTAAAAGTCTATACTTCCTCCTATTTGCTAAATTCTAACCACCATTCATTATCAGTGTCTTTAATGTGCCTCTTACACAACTACAGGCTTTACTGTACCAGACGGACCTGGACTTTCATAATGACTGATTTGATTTACAAATTCTGTTGTTGTTTTTTATTTTAAATCTAATTTATCTAAACAACAGAATGTATGACTACAATTTAGAGCCATAGTCGTGCTTTATCTAGACAAATTGAGCATGTTTAGGCAAGAGAGGCCTCCCTGTGCAGGCAAGAGCCCAAATGACAGGGCGTCCCCACCTCACCACACACCACTACAGTTAGTCAGCAGCTTTTGTTGTTTTCCAACCACAGTTTACATGCAGCCAGGCTCATTATTCATCTCCTGAGAGCAACGCAGCATGCCTTTATGTACACTACCCCTTCGCTCTGTTTATCACTTGGGCCTCTGCCTCTCCACCACACTTCCCTGTTCGCCCTGCTTCACAGGGACAGAGTTCCAGGCACCATCACATGATACCCGGCTCGCCATCGTTTGCGGTGCGTGTTGTTTACAGTTCCCACAGTGCCCTTTTGTTGTCCATCATCATCAAGCAAAATCAAAAAATTCCACAAGACAGTTATAGGGCTCGCCTTTCTTTACTTATCACTTCTGTCCTCTCTCTCTGCGTTTCTTTGCTTGTCACATGTAAATGAGTACTGTGTTTGCCACAACAGAATAGCCCTCTATGTTGAAGATGCAGTCCCTCTATTACTGTGTTTGAAGAGTGTTTGCTCCGCCACAATACAGTGATAAACCGTGTTCTTTAGAACCCCTAGTCTCCAATGATGCAGACTGTAATTAAGGAGGGGTGGGGGGTTCCTCTCTTCACCACGTAATGCTGTCCAGACGTTGTGGAAATTCTGTTTGTGTGTGTGTGTGTGTGTGTACTGAAATCTGGTTTTGTTTTATGTTGGATGCTAACTGCAGCAGAACAGTTTCCTGGTGTAATTCAGTGGCAATGAAATGATTTGAGACCTAACCTGTAAATAAGAGTCATATCTCTACTGTCTTTATTTCATTCATTCTCCATTCTGTACTTGCTTTTGGTCCCCATAATCCCTCTTTCTTTAATACTTGTGTGCATATATTTACACATTTATATATTTATTAAGTCATATTTCTAGCAACAAAGGCTCCATTCCTCCTCTACCCTCCCCCCCACCCCAAAGGAAAAATCCTTTATCACTCTCCACCTCACCTCCACCAGTTCTCGCAGCCTCCCCTTCACCCCCCCCCCGCCTCACCTCTGCCCTTACCTCCTCCTCTCTCCTCTGTCATCTACAGACCTCTCTTTTTCTCAAAGGGGAACTCCCTGTAGGAGTAGAGGGCCGCCGTTTTGGAACAATAGCTCCTGATTAAACTCCCCTCTGTCTGAAAGTGACCTTCAGACTGCTGAATCAGCCAGTAGCTGCCACTATGAGAACCTTAGGACACACAGACACCAGATGTAAATTAAATCTAAACTGAATTTTAACCCTAAACTAAAATCAACTACTAACCTTGAAAACAACTCTTTGAAGAAGAGGAAAAGTAAAAACTACCTGCACTTTGCCAAAATGTCTCTAGATCTCAAAACTAATTTGTTTTGAGACTGAATCACAAGAACATGCGCGCATACACACAAACACACACATTGACATAATTTACAAAACTACACAAAACCACACCACAACTGGTATCAATAAAGAAATAGTTCAAGATACTGGGAAATTTGATTATTTGCTTGTTGAGAATTAGGTGAGAAGATCAATGCCACTCTTTTTAATTAGTTAACTTTGCTTAGCATAAACACAGGGAAGGGGACACAGGTCTGTACAAATAAACACAATGTAAAAACTAAATATTTTACACTTTAACGTCATTTTCACACTTTGAGTTTTGTACAGAATAAACAAGCAAGATGTAGCATGCTAATTAGTGAACAATAGGTGCTGTTAGGTGGATTTTCTTATCTTCAGACAGAGCCAGGCTGACCTGTCTTTATACGAAGCTATGCAGCTGCTGGATGTAGCTTCATTTTTACCATTAAAACATGAAAGTGGAATCTATCTTTTCATTTAACTCTCTGCAAGGAAGTGAATAGGTATATTTCTTTAATCAGTCCTTAAATTACTAGAAGAAGAAGACAACACATTCACAACACACAACCCTCTCAGACCTTTAGGGAGGATCCCTGCAGCCAGAGAGAGATACCTTTATCATGATGTCCTTATCAGATCTGATGAAAAGATGCTTCACACATCTGTTAGCCACTGATGGATAGCACGTGATTTGACACCTATTGACTTGTGACACTAGCAAACACAGTGTGTGTGGGGCACCTGATGGAATGTGTAAGAGTGTGTGTCGCAGGAAGGCTGTATATGAAAGCTGTGTTGGTGTTTTAGGAGGAAGGGTGTGTGAAGGCAAGAGAGAGAAAATTCGTAGTGCACAGCTGGTATTCATGAGAGTCCAAGCTTCTCACACACACACACACACACACACACACACACACACACACACACACACACACACACACGTGAGTGACTGAACATATGTGGCACAGGTGCAGTGCACCTGTCCGTAGCCAGGGGAATTCAGACACCTGCAAGTCCTCCACCCACCCCTTCTCGCCTTGCCTCCCCCGCCCTCAGGTCACCTCGCTGCCCTCATCCACCCTGGGAAGCCCTCCGCAGCCCATCAGTTGTTGATCAAGGTAAGGTGAGAGCTGTTATCTCAATGTCTGGGAGGAGAAGCACAGCAGAGGAAGAGCCATTATAGTGCAACAAATCACAGCAGGAGTCCCATCTCACACAGCTGTGTGAAACTCAAACCATGCTCAGAATAAAGTAGAAGAGGAAGATGAGATATTAAGAGGGAGCATTCAAGACAGGAGAGTAGAATATCTCGAGATTATAGGTTTTCCTATTATTTTACAATCACAGAAACCTCAGTGCATTGTTTTCCACTATTGTTGAATTCAGTGCCACTAGATGACAGCCTTGAGCAGAGAAAGTATCCCCACACAGTTCCTGTGTGAGCTGTGTGTACTGTACTCCAGCCTACAGACTGTTTGCCACACAATCAATGCTGTGCAGCTTGTAAACAAACAGTTCAGGGGCTAAGCTTTTGAAGTGATAGAGCTGTGGTTGAGAAAGTGCAGAGCCGCTCCGAACACACAACATCCTCTTTAAAGATACTCGCCTGGAAGTGGTGAGGGTTGTTGGCCCAGGAAGGAGAAGGGGTGACTGAACGGCTTGTCACACAACTTCCTCATCCACCTATCCGAGAGCCCATTCACAATGACTTTCACTGTTATATCATCATGCGCGGCTGTATCGCAGAGTAAAGCTTGAGGACACTAAGCTACAACCACTCTTTACTTTAAATAAACCCCCAGATATCCCACTTTGTGGTTTGTGGAGCTCCTTGTTTTCCTGTTATTTTTCTAGCATGTGACCCTCAAGTCTTCCAGAGTATTTCGCACATGCATTGTTGATTTTGTAAAATTACATGTTTGTCTGTGTCTGGATGTATTTATGGGACCATCACACTTAATACGACCATATAAAGAGGAAGAAAAAAAACGTGTTTGTAGCAGAGAGCAGCGGGGAGCAAAGAGCCAAAGACAAACAGTCAATGGGTGTATTTGGATGTGTGCATATGTGCCTTATTTTGTGTTTATAGTGTTTGTGTCTATGTGTGGGTTCTTGCGGTTGTCAGTGCTGTTCTTCATTAATGAGAAGAAACCGCTGGATGGCTCCCTCACGCCCATTTTTAATGACTCTAAACTGCCAAGTGGGTACACACACATTCACCCACCCACCCACACACGCACACACACAAACACACACACACACACACACACACACACACACACACACACACGCACAGCCAAGATGGCAAACATGGTGGTTGTGACACATTTCCTCTTCTACTCTTGCAAGGATCATAAAGCACTAATGTCTCTAACTGGGCTCAATATGAGACACCAGTGAGGATGTAGCCATTATGAGAGAATTTTTCATACATACATTTTCCGTAGTTTCCTGTTCAGGGATACTTGGAGCCTACTACTCCTGATTTACTGGTCTGTCATAGAGCAAATACAGACACACCCCCACACACCGATATTCACACTAATGAGAAAATTTGAGTCTCCAGTTTCACCAGACTTGCATGTATTTGCAAAGTGGGAGGAAACTGGAGCTGCCAAAGGAAATATCTGAACACGGAAAAAATCTACCACAAAAAGGAAATATTAATTATCCTGTGTACTTTATATTATATACCTAGTTTGCAACAGTTTTAAAATGACTCTCATGCACTTTCTCCCTGCTGTATTATACGACTATATCATCCAAAGTCTGATGTGCAAAATTACCAGTACTTCTTTTTAGTCCCCTCTTTATCTCTTCCACCTCCAGCCCACTTTGCATGGTCCCTGCATCCCCCACACGTTCCCTCTCCCTGAGAAATTACATCTTTCAGGACGAAGTGCTCTGCCTCTTAGCAGTGAAGAGTGCTTGTCTGTGCTGGGTTTGAATTTCAGCGATGCACCTCAGTGCCTCTTGAGAGGGTCTGACTGAGGTGTAGGGGTACTGTGTGTGCGTGTACTACAGGCA